AGATACACAAAAAGAAAACGCATCATTTACTTAAAAAAATAATTATAACAACAAGGTCCCAAAATAGTGTCCTCTCCAAACCTAGAAGACCCTCATGCACCCCTCCCTGACCACCTCCTTCTGCTTGCCCTAGATGGAAACATTTGTGGTAATCATTTCTTTGTTTTTCATCTATTTGACTACTTACATATGTATCCTAAATACTGGCTAAATTCTGTGTTTTTGAACTTTACATAGAAGAAACATAATGTATCTATTCTTCAGTTGGTTTACTTCTTTCATCCCATATTGTAATTCTACATGATGACAGTTTGCTCCTTTTCATTGCTGTCATATTTCAAAGATAACTATACTAAAATTGTATCATGTTGATGTAGTTTGAGTTGTATGCTTTTAGATATTACAAAAATGCACATGTGTAAGAGATTGACTTTGAGTTGTAAATATTCCATTCAACTTTAGTGAACAATTCCATTCGATGTTCCCCAAACTGATTTATCAGTTTTAGATATTAGCAGTATATGATTCTCTTTGCTTTACCTGTTAAAACTTGTTACTATCAAACTCTAAGAATGATTCTTTAATCTGGTGGGTGTATTAATATTGATTTTCATTTTCCTCTCAGTGGTTATCAAAGAGGGTATTGGTATTTCCATATATTGGTCATTTCCAATTTCTCTTTGCTGTTGTGCTAAACTTTTTGTACCTTTTTGAAATTAGTTTCTATTTCTTATTCATTTGTATTTTTAATATATTACAGGTATTCTTTTACATATTTTGCAGACTGTATTACATACACTGTGATCTCTTTTCCACATATAGTGTTTTGATAAATAAAAGTCATTAATTTTTAGCTAGTTGAAATTTATCAGTCCTTTATGGCTAAAAAATTTTTTGACTCCCCAAAGCATAAAAACATTTTCTCTTGTAGGTCCACATAACTTATCTGAAATCACCTTGGAGCCAAAAGTTCTTAGAATACAGCTTTCTTACATAATGGAATGGGGCTATGGAACATACCCCAAACACTGTATAAACACTCCCAGAACAAACTGAAACAGACTCAAATCCAGGAGCATTTCTACAGAAAAACATGCGTTGTTATCTGATACATACATAACAACTATAAAAAGCCTCATATCACTTTACGGCATATTTTTCACCAAATGGGTGTCAAAGAGACTGGTGTTTTTGTACCTAGTACAAGTCATAGTAGCCTAGTACAAGTCATAGCAGCAACAATGAAATTGTCTAAAGCTTAGAGGAACCCACTGGTGTAGTGAGATACCTAGAATTTGTTTGTAGATTATTTGCTTTGTAGTTCAGACTGGCCTTCAATTATATAGGCCAGTTGGCCTCAAACTTGCAGTGATCCTCTTGCCTCAGCCTCCAGAGTGCTGGGATTACAAGCATCCACCACCACACCTAGCCCTTGTTCAAATTTTTTAATGTCTTAGACTATTATTTATACTCTGAACTGAGTCAGTCACTTGTTTTCTTGAAATCTGTACATTCATCTAAATTTCATTTGTATTGCTTTCAAGATTCTCTAATCTTTCTTATGTCTATAAATTGATAGTTTTCATTACTGATATAAGTTATTAACATCTCTCCTTTCTTGTTCAAACTATTAGATATTTGTTAATCACATTTTTTATTCTAAAAAATCCACTTTTGGATGCAGTGTTATGCCAGTGAATTGGTAACAAACAAACAGAAGCCTGGCTTGTTTTCTGATTTCCATAGTATTAATGTTTCCATCCTGGCAAGTTCAAGCTACCAATCTGTTGTTACAGACTGTGGAGGTGGAAAGAGGTGGCACAGCTGGTTCTCCCTGGACGGTACCAAACAATCTACGTATCAGTGCTTTTCCCATTCCATTCACTTCTGCTCTTCATGTTATTTCTGTATGTCTACTTAATCATTTTGCTCTTTTGCCTAATTTCTTAAAGATGAATGTTGTAGTCAGGGGTTGTGAGGAGAACAACTGCGATCAGTACACAGAATTTATAATATTATTTTATGATGGTCACCCAGAGTTAAAAATAAGAAAGTGCAGGAACACTGAAGACCCAGTATATTCAGCCAAGGGCCTGGATCCCACAGCAATGTCCTGCATGAGTCCAGATGAAGACCTAGAGTCCATGACAGTGCCTCCCACGAGTCCAACAGAAGGTCCAGAGTCCATGAGAAGGATTCACGCCAGTCTGTTTTACAGATCTGTACTGAGAAGGCTCAAAGGTCAGTGGGGGAAGCCAGAAAGTCTATGCCAGCGGGAGTGAAGGAGCTGTGCTGGTAGGTTGAGGGTTCTACACTGGAGCCAAGAAATCACACTCTTAATAAGGACCAGGGCTGCCCTTAAGTACCACAGCCATCTTCAGGGACATGGAGGTCTTGAGCTCCTCCAACCCTGAGAACAGTTGAGTACGTGCTAGAAAGCCAGCATGACAACCTTCTCCTGGAGATTAAACAGCACAGAGCTGTTTAATTTTTAATTTCACCGCCAGAGCCAAGAAGTAATGCTTGATGTAAGGACCACAGCTCGTGCAAAGAGAACTACAGCCACTCTTACCAACAAGGTCCCAAGCTCCTCTGATAATGGTTGAACTCACATTGGGGAAGCCAGCATGATGAGCTCCTCCCAGAGAACCACCGGCTCAAAACAACACTTTATCTCAAATGTTAGATTGTGAGTTAAATCCCTGGTACCAAAACAAAACAAAACAAACCCACAACACTTAGAGAAACCACAATGCCCAGCTCTTCTTCTCCACATCTCTATGTATGCTAGCAACTTTCCTTGGGTGGGTCATCTACACTCAGCACCATGCTGATTTAATTCAACTGGCATTAAGTTGACCACCAGTTTTTAATCCATAACAATGACTCTTAAGCTCAAGATGTTTCAGGCTCTTTTCTAATATATTTACTTATGGCTCTAATTGTCCCTGTAAGTACTGCATTAGCTTTATTCCACAGGTATTTAATTGTTCAGTTTAAAATATTTTCTCATTAACACTGAATTTTTTTGTCTAGAACTTACATGAACTTGTTTTTAGTTTATTGATTTCTACCATAACTGTATTGTAGTAGAAAAATAATGTTTAACGATTTAAATCTTCCAAATCTGTTGATCAATTTGGCAATGTGACATTAAAGCATGACATGGTGACATGCTTTAAACAATATATATCCTAGTTCTGATTCTGATTTTTTTAAAATATCTGCATTATGTCAAGTTTATAAATCATGTCACTTAAGTTTTCTATATTTTATTTTTCTCTTGCTGAGAAACTGGCTGAAATCATCCGTGACTATTTTTTTCTCTTAATTCTGTCAAGTTTAATTTTCTGTTCTGCATACAATCATGTATCACTTTGTTGCTTAGCCATGGTACACATTCTGAGAAATGCTTCATTAGTTGAGTTTATCGTTGTGATAACTTTCTCCATCACAGGGAACCACAGTTGTATATGCAGTCACTGATGAAAACATGGTTATGTGGAACCTAACTATATATTTTATCATTAGTACACATTTTAAACAAAATATATTTTATTTTTCAACTCCCAAGGCATCCAAGATTTTTTTATCCTTTTTATATTACATTAGTTATACTTAAATATTTATCTTTACATAAACTGACCTTGATAAACAGTGTAATTAAGTGCTGGCTCTAGTAAAGCTAGAGCCGTCCACTATCAGAGTTCATTAACTGTTGAGAAGTACGTCTCATACTGTAGAAAATGTTTGCTGGTGCTGAGCTTCATACCACCACTATAACAATCTGTCCAAGTTGAGTATACAGGATCAAACACCAGCACAGAGCACTCCCACAACACGAGCTGGTGGAGGAGATGGAACCTAAGACTGACCACCCAAATTACGCTTGCGAGTTCTGCTGAGATAAACTCTTATATTAAATGCAACGTCCTTGAAACGTCTGAAGCAGCCTAGGTGAACATCAATGGCCACACAGATAATTATGAGGTATGTATACACGAAATTTTATTCTGCTATATAGGATAAATTTGAGTCATTTGGATTTGGCTCGGCGGCATGAGCACCTGCCTTGCAAGCAGGCGGTCGTGAGTTCGATCCCCGGTACCGATAAAAAGAGAGAGAGAAAAAAAAAATTTGAGTCATTTGCAAGAAAATGGATGCGTCTTGAGACCATAACGTTGAGTGAAGTAAGACACTAAAATTTAAATACTGCATGATTTCTCTCACATGAGAAACCAAATTATGGAGTAAAAGAAAGGCAGACTCCTTGGAGAATGGGAAAGGGAATCGCAAACGATTAAGATGTTGCAGTTATATACCACCAATGTGTTATATATAAACCAATGGCCCAGAATAAACGTATTATCTCACGTACTGCAAATCTATACAGTACCAATTAAAAATATGAAGTAGTGTTTTCATGCCTCATTAAGCTACCTTAACGTCTAGGGAGAGTAAATGTCATAACTGAGACTACAGCATTGGAAACATTTATTTTTCCCGTGGCCCTAACTTCATTGGTTCTCAACTTGTCACTTCCTTGCCCACCTCCCGGGGCGTCACCGCCTCTTTATGGGACCGTGTCTTCCTCCTTTTCTCTCTTGGAGGCAGCGAGGCATCCCGCCTTGGTTCTACAACCCTCAGCCGGGCTCTCGTTCCGTACACACACAGCCCTCCACTGTCGCGTTCTACACTCGCGCACTAAGCATCCCTTTTGTTGTTTTATTTTCTGAGACTGGACCTCATTACGAACGGAGATCGGGCTGGCCTTGAACTCACTATGTAGGCTGGTATCCAACTCGTGGAAAACCTCTTTGCCTGCCTCACAAGTGCTGAGATAACAGACGTGCAGCAGGCCAATCGCAAAGTACTGCTCCCAGACGAAGTCTGGGGCCACTGTCAACAAAGGGTCTCCACTTCCACACCCCGCACCGCGGGTCACCCCCTACAGGCCGGAAATCCTCCGGACAGGTACTGCGCCGGGCCGGAAGTCCCGCCCTCTGAGCGCAGTCAACCGTAACCCGGAAGTGTTAATCTACGGACCAGCGGCTGGCTCGCGTCGTGAATCACCTGGCGTGAAGACTTGCAGCGCCAGGACCCGGCCTTCCGCTGTCTCCTGCTACCTAGTTGGTTGCAGAACCCTCGGGAAGCCGCGAGTGGCGCGCAGGTCGGCGCGTGTAGGGCTGGTCGGGAGGGGGCGGGCTGAGGAACTTCGCCGCTGCGCTGCTGGAGGGAGCTGGAGCAGCTCCCCGAGGCGCTCCGGTAGTGCGGTTTAAGAAAAGGAGGGGCTAACTGCCCCTTTCGTTGCCTTTTGCTCACTTGGCAGGGTCATTTTTAAGGTCAGATGTCGGTTTGTCCCACAGCTGACTCCCAGCAGGAATGGCAGCCCCCTCCATGAAGGAGAGGCAAGTCTGCTGGGGAGCCCGCGACAACTACTGGCAGTGCCTGGAGGAGAACGCCGAGGACGCCTCGCGCTGCCAACAGCTGAGGAAGTCTTTCGAATCCAGCTGTCCCCAGCAGTGGGTAAGTGACACCAGCCGGGCTTGTATGTGGTCTGTATGTGGTGAAAGTGCATAGCACTCACCCTAACCTAGGTTGGGGGACGAGGTCATCGAAGAAGTCAAGGGCCCTAGAGGCCATCCACGAGGAGCAGCAACATGTGGAGACTGAAGTCATCCTGGAGTTATGGCCCGAGTATTGTTGGGGAAAACAGTGACCTTCAACGTTTTGGGGCACTTCAACAAAGGAGAGGGTAAAATACAATACTCCAGTTGACTTGTGCAGCCTGTGACAGCTATAGCACCTTTCTAAGCCACAGCTGCTGTCTTTTGCAAACCTGTGCTTTGTTGGTCCATGTTTTGGTTCACTTTAGTTCAACAGCCAGGCCCCTTCAGTATCAGTACTTTGCTCTTGATCGCCTGCCTGTGCTCTCAGTTGTTACCTGGCTGAAGCCCTGCCTCTCCACTTTATTTTATTGTCTCATGCATTGTCCAGGCTAGGCTCAAATTTTAAGTTATCCTGCCTCAGCCTCCCAAATTAGAGCAGTGTTTTGACCATCTCAGAGCAAAGCAAAGCTGTATATAAATACATCTTTAACAGCTCTGGACTGAGAAGTGGGCCCTAGATATTATGTTTGACAAAGTTCAAGATCCAATGTCATGTTCAAAAATCCGTAATTCAAGTCCTGCACTTGCACTGGAGATCAAGCGTTCCGCTCTGTAAAGGTGCCTTAAATCTGGGCAAAAGAGGATCTTTCTGATAACTTCAAAGAACTAACTTCTTACCAACTGTTATATAATAGGGTTTCTCAGTGAGTAAGACTATCATAAGTAACCACTCCATGAAAGAGTCCATCTGGACTTGTTGCTGCAGTGCATCCCTTGGGGAAACACTGACTTTTATCTGATGCTTTTCTGGTGTGTTATCTACCTGGATGCAGAACAGATCAGATTTCCACATTGTTGGTCTGTGCTCACTTTTACCTATCAGCCCCACTGGGATATTAAACCCTAAGAAAGGCTTTTAACAAAAAAATGACTGTTTTCTATTCCAGTGCGAATATAGATGTTTTGCCTCTGCTTGGAGGTGCAGAGCAGGTCAGATACAGATGCTGCAGTAATTTCATTTTTCACTTTTAGGGTTTTACCACATTTACTTTAAGATTCTTTAAATTTCATATAGATACAAATAAAATCAAGTCTTAAAATACTGAAATTGCAGCATGGTGGCACACACCTGTAATCCCAGAACTTGGGAAGCTGGGGCAGGAATTTCACTACAAGTCTGAGGCCAGCCTAGGCTAGTGAGTTCAAGTCCAGCCTGAACCACATAGCCAAACTCTGTTCAACCCTCTTCATCCCCCCAAAACTGAACAAACAATGTGATGTTTTACCATCAGTTTACCTACTCATATCATAGTTCGTAGTTTTTATGTATGTGTTTATCTCTTTTTAAATGTGTTTCTGGATGAAACAGACCTAAACAGTGGTGGCAGATAAATTACAAGATGTATTGAACTTGCCACAATAGTTCAGTGTCTTAAATCTCAAGACTCTGAGCCATGTAAGAGCTCTATGGACTTAACTTAACAGGAGGGTCCAAGGTGCACAGATTGGTTTCCTGAGAGAAAGTTTCCTGGGTCATTCAAATTCTCAACAGGATTTGTCACTCAAAAAGGACCAGGATTCACCAGGCTTCATGCTTCTCAGATGTTCATCCTAGAAGCAGAATGGTTCTAGAATATAAATCACGTTTTTATTTCTATACAGTTTGTATTGATTTGTTACATTTAAATCTGCGCTTTTGCTCATGTAAATCCTGATATAAACTTTTTTCTCAACAGATAAAATATTTTGATAAAAGAAGAGACTATTTAAAATTCAAGGAAAAATTTGAAGCAGGACAGTTCCAGCCTTCAAAATCTCCTGCAAATTCCTAGGCTCTTCTTGAACTTTCGATGGAGGTTGAAATTATTTTTTCTGGACATTCAAAAATGCTGTGTGGGTTTTGGGATAGTATTTGAATCATGGTGCACACTGATGCTTGTTCCCTGTGTATAATAGTTAATAATTAAAATGATTAAGCAACAGAAGATCCCATCATTCAGACTATGAAAAACAGAAATAAAGTGGTATTAAGTATGTTCAGTTTTAATTTAGTAAGAAACCTGTTTTAAGAAAAAAAATTCTATTATAAAACATGGTTTTTTTCTTTTTGGCAGCAGAAACCGAGTCAGGCAAATATTATAGTAGATATATTTTAGATATAGTTTTAGATAGCAAGTTTTGTGTTCCAGGTAGCATTTTAACTCAAACTACAAAATGAAGTTGGAAAAAAAAAAACTGAACTTGAAATATTGAGGTAAGATAATAAAAAACTATTAAAAACCCACAGCTTATCTTCATACTGAAGAGCAAGAAAATGACTGGATTCCAGCTAGTACACTAAGGCAAAAAAGAAATAAGCATATAGATAGGAAAAAATAAAGCTGGCAGTGTTCACAAATGTTATGATTAAATTTATGAAAACTCCAAAGAAAAAAATGTATGCAAATCTCATATTTTATCAAGAACTTGTATATAGAATAAAGAACCTAAAACTTCTTTTTTTCTCACAGTACTAGATTCAAGCTGGGGCTTTCACAGTGAGCAACATCCCCAGCCTTTTGTTATTTATTTTGATAAAAAATGTTACTAAATCACTTAAATTTCCTAAGCTAGGCTCAAACTTGCAACCCTTCTGCCTCAGCTTCCCAGAGTATTGCAATTATAGGTGTGTACCACCATGCCCAGCTCTTACAACTCTCAGAAAAAAATAACCCTATTTTAAAAGTGAACATATTATGCAAATAGTACTTATTGAAAGAAGATGTACACTGGGAAACAAATATATGTAAAGATCCTCTAATACTAAATATAAGAGTAGTAGAAATTAACTACATACATATATTACTGTAACCTATTGGAAAAGTTCAGTTAAAAGCTGGTATTACTAAGTGCTGACAAGGATATACTGCAACAATCATTCTTGCTGGAACGATTACAAGGAGTACAAGCTGGTAAAGCCCCCTGGAGAACAGAGTTAAACATGTTGACTTAAGACCCAGCAGTCCCACTTCTAGACGTTTTACCAAATGAACTGAAAACTAAATCTGTACATGTTTATCCAAAGCTGCTTTATGCACAATCACCAAAAACTGGAAACTACCTGGAAACCCACAATGGGGAAGTGAATAGGCAAAGTGATACATCTGTATGATGGAATAAAGTAGGCATGAACCTCAGATTCATGCAGTAACATGAACCTTCACTGTATTTCGCTATGTGAAACAAGCCAGACCCAAAAGGCTACATAAATGCTTTGGTTGATAGGACTTGAAAAAGTGGAACTATAGGACAGAAAAAAAAATGTTGGCCAGTGACTGGGGAGATGGGTGACAAGGAATGATAAATGAACTTCTAAGGTGATAAAATCATTCTTTATGGCACCATGGTAGTGTGTGCCTGAATATGCATTTGATAAAACCCACACTAAGCTATAAAGAGTGACTTTGCACATTAAAATAAAATCCACCAGGGTGGTGGAAATTCTGGTAGTGTGCAGAACATGTCTACCCATATTATAAATATGTGACATAACCTCACTGAAAGCAGTGGGCAAGAGAGGAACTGACCTAAATAACAAGTGTTTGACTGGATTCTATGGCTAAAGGCAAAAGGAACTGTACACAAGGTGCTAAATTTCATAACCTTAGCACTTCTGAGGCTGTTTGTATAATAAAGTAGACCATGTAAGTAAATACAAGCAGTGAGAATTAGATTGTCAGAATAAGCAGTTAAAAATAAGCGAAAGGAGAACATGTGAATTCCATTGCTGGGATCAGTGCCTGGTATCTGAACCTACACCACGTGCACCTGTCTCCACTCGTAACAGAATCATCTATGGACAGTCACAGGGTGGCAACGTGAGGTGCCCTAGTTGGTGGTTGGGGAGGGCAGAACTATAGCCACCATTCAGGCAGAGGCAGCAAGCATGTCTAGCCCCTAGTTTTTTGTGATGTTGGGGATAGAACGTAGGCTCTCTGCACTGATTACATCCCCAGCATTTGTTTTAATTTTGAGACCCAGTCTTACTAAATTACTGAGGCTGGGCTCAAACTTGTGATCTTCTTGTCTCAGCCTCCCAGAGTGCTAGAATTATAGATTGTGCTTTTGAACACTATTCTCCAATAAATGAGGTCAACCCTCCTGTCTGCTGCTAACCTAAGGTAGGAAAAATAAAAACCTGTGCCAAAAGAACTATTTAAAAAATGGCATATACCATAATGACAGTGCCAACTGTCCACACTGATTAGAAAGATGACTGATCAAAGAAAAGGTCTTTGTAGAGGAATTCCAATAAATACATGCAGGAGGAATAAAATAGGGAATATCACTATTAAACACTAAAGTCATAAGTGCTACAGGCGAAATCCCCTATGTATGTGGTCAGCGGGCAAAATGTAAGACTGACTGCACAGCCTCAAGTATCCCTCCAAAATGCCAGTCACTGGAATAGTCTTGCGGCTCTCCCCAAATTCTCTGACATCCTTCCCTCCAAGAGGGAGCTTACTTTCCTTCCACAGAGGCGAGGCTGTGCTGTGACTCACTTAATAGTAGCAAGAGAGCGAGTGAGCAGTGTAAAGAATGTGGCATTGTCTTTACCAAGTGATGGAGGCAGTGAGCCTGCCGTGTATCTCCAGCACGACGTGAGAAGCCTCTTGTCATTCTTCCTTAACACAGTCTCCGGGAACATACCAATCACAAAATAAGTCGGCCAGTGTACTTCAAAGTATCCGGATCATGAAAAGACAGAAACACCAATACTGTCAGACATTAGAGAAGGCTAAGGGGACAACAATGACTTTAACAGCGTGGTCTCTCATCCTGGATTGGCTCCTGAACAGAAAAGCGGACATTAGTGGAAAAATGGGAAATAGGAATACAGTCTACAGTTTGGTGACATGCACCATCATCAGCCTTAATTTCTGAATTTTGATAAATGTACACACAGCTATGTAAAGTCACACGGGAGGCATCCTATCAAAGTATATGGAAATTTTGTGTCCAATTTTTATGTATCTCTGTAAAGCAAGTTTCAAAATAAATATACAGAAAAAAAAAAACACAGGTAATGGACTGTAATTTAAATATTAAAAGGGACCTTGACATAACTGAAGTTCATTGCTGGATGGTGAGAGTTACCATTAAAAACAGTCAAAAGAAGAGAAAACACCCATGGATTTTATTCACATTTTCAATGATATACAGGAGTAGTCAAGTCAGCTCCTTTGGGTCCAGGGTTATAGTTATCAGAATGGAGATTACTTCTAATCATTATCTGATCTTTCTGAAGAAAGGTGTCTAAATTTCATAAAAACTGATGATGGCCTACTTTGGTTTTAAAAATAAAGTGTAGGAACAGAGCTTGAGCTTTGCAGGAAAACTGGCTGGGTATCTTGCTAAGCTGTTTTCCCAAGCACACAGCAGGAAGAGAGCCGCTCCCCATTCAGCACCTCTCCCAGCTCTGCTCCCAAGACAAAGGGTGCCAGTGCTCACAGCTCATGGCTGCTTTAGTTCTGCCTTCTAGCAGTCCACATTCCTGATGATGCCAGTGTTTCTAGGAGGGAAAATAGATTTTCAAAACACTGCATTATCTCAAAAATTGCTTAAAATATTTTATTAAAGAAGCAATACAATTTAGCCATAAGTGTACATTACAACATACAGTGATCTTTTTAAGGCACATGAGAAAGTTTTGGCATCAAAATGCAAGAAAACGATGCAAATCATCCCAGTAAATTTCAGAATCTACTTCAGTCCACAGAGTTGTAAAAAATGGTCTCAGTAGCACCACAACTCATCTCAGGTAAGGCACAAGCATCACGATGGGTCTTCCCGTTTGAGCAGCTGCTGCCTGGTATACTCCCAGATGAGCAGAGCGCCGCTCACATGCACGTTCAGGGAGCGGATGACGCCCTGCTGCGGGATCTCCACACACACATCCAAATGCTGCATCAGGTTGGCTGGGATTCCTTCGCGTTCATTGCTGACAAAGATAGATGAGGGGCAGACGTTAGTTTTCCTGTAGTACAAAAATTTGTTCTTAGGTATTCTGAATGTTACTAAAAAAAATCAACATATGTAATTAGTGTGGTTCCAGGAAATAAGTCTGTGACGAGACTTAAGGGACAGTTCTGTGTCATCTGATCACCAGATGGGTGAAATAAAAGGAAAACTGGGAGGGAGCTTTCCATAAATATTACAAGCTGAAAGAAATGTGTGCATATGACGGCAAGGGCCTGGGTAAGTCACCAAATAGCTAGCATTTTCTAGGTGGGACTCAGGACAGACTGGTTCAGGGTTCTCACCCCAGCAGGAGCAGTGACTTCTCAGGAAAGCGGTACTGGGCCAGGTCAGAACTTCTGGCCGTCTGCTCCACCCCAATGATGGTGTAGCCCTCCGCTTTCTTCAGCTGCAGATAATCAATTAGCTGAGCTGGTTTCACCTTAATATTAGTTTACAAAGAGCAGAGTATTAAATCATTCAGCTGTAGCCCTGCTTGGAATAAAATGAGAATTAAGAAAAAACATTTATTAAAGCTAAACTTGTTTAAAAAGTGCTTTTAAAAGAGGGAAACAACACAATCATGCTATCAAAAACAGTTCCTCAACTTCATACACATTTTTACAAGATTAATCCCTCAATCAATAGTGAGCTGTAAAAGGACACATTAAGAGACTACCACAATACTGACATTTCTAAAAATAAAAATATAAAAAAGAACAAACAAGGCTGAATTTTAGTTTTAAGCATTATTTTTAAACTATTGAAGGCTATATTCTTAAAAACTACTGCAAAAGGCCTAATAGGTGAAGGCTTAAAGCAAATAAAGCTTTAATAATAAGTTACTTTCCACCCACTTCTACCAGAGGAAGCCACTGTTCTGCGGAGACGCTGAGGTGCTGAAACTGCTTGTCACTGACGCACTGCAGACTGCCCAGGACAAGCGCTGCGGCCCCAAACACCTCACAGGTCCGGCACAAGCCTGCACAGAGAAGCGACACTTAACCAGTACTGTTCCCACTGTGGTGCCAAACAAC